TATTCAAAAATTATAGTTCTAACGCCACGCACCTGTACTTGAGCTGAAGGAGAACCTGCTGTGGTGTGAGACAGAGGCCGCCCGTCGTTTCTGGAAAAGATCTTTCCATGGAGGCTTGTTTCCACACAATCCACCTGAAGTGATTGTACACCCACTCCTCACTCATCAGTTTAGGATCCACACCTGGAGTGTCACATAGTGCTCTGTGGGAAGTGTAGAACGAGATGATATTGAGTATAACAGGTTTATTACAAAGTCTGATTAAAACTAATTTATTAATTTAATTAATTAATTCAAATACTTATAAAACTCTTCTTTTCCTGCAGTCCCATCATTGCTGGGGATTAGCCATCCTCCATCCGCCAGCTGAACGCCTCCCCCGTCTCTAAGAGCTTCCAGTTTCAGGAACTGATGCAAATTGAAGCGAAAAGCCTCAGCAGTCTCGCTGCGGATGTCAGACACATGTTGATGGACTCCATATCCGTACAGCTGAAACATGACATCAAGATGTTAAAACTTTGCCCACACAACACATTGTTGATATTTCAACTCAACCCTTTCTGTGACGAAATATTCTCTGAAGCCCATTGAAAGTTGTGTCATTGCCTGTTTTGAGGTGAATCTCGCAGGGAGCTTTCCATTTGCAGCAGCTTTTAATGGGATCCTTGAAACACCCGAGGTTTTCGTCAGAAACAAACTGCCCGGCAAAGGTCGAATCTTCTGGCGCTTCTTTTTCCTGATTCTCATGTCTTGCATATCCCGTGCCAATTCCACATTTTCAAGATTCTGAAACGCTTCTGTAAACCATAAACAAAATTATTTCATATTTACACTGTGCCACACTGACTTCACGCAGAAAGGTTATACTGCACCTTGGCCTCTGGAAATTGTGTCGTCCTCACGTGTTGCCTTTGCAGCAGAGTCCTCTGAACCACAGCCAACAGGAACATGGTGATTATTAGTCAGATAATCATGCTTTGTGTCAGCCAAGGGCACCTGTGGAATATCTTCTTTGCTTTTATCACCAGCTACATCTGTACTGCTTTGTGTTTTTTTAGTGGGTGGTAAGTAAGTGCTGCTGTTAGCAGGTCTAACAAAGAGATGCTGGTGTTTATCCTCCTGCTGTGGTTTACAGGAGCTCTCTTGGACAATAGTTCTTTGTTTTTTGAAAGGAGGAACAAATTCTGGAGGTGTTCGCATGTTGACTTTGAGGACTGCATTCTTGCAGGTCTCTGTGTTCTTGAGGAAAGGAGGAACAAACGCGGGCATCTTTGAATGTGCTGATCTGCTGCCTCCTGAGGTACTATGTTGTGTTGGTGTTGTGTTTTGCAGTTTGGTTTCCACATAGTTTCTTCCATTCCTGTGAGACAAAATAATACATCACAGAGAGCTGATAACTGATGCCAGACACTTATTAACATGGGAAACGATTCAATCTTACCTGTGTGGCTTTGTGATATTTGGATGAGGAGATGCTTGAAACTTGAAAGCTCTCCTGTCTTTCATTACACCTTAATTGAGAAAAAACACAGTAGAGTAACATCATTTACAAGAAAACATATATGAATGGAACATTTCCTTTGTGCAAATAACTTACTCTCTGGACAAGTTTTTTGTGGATGTAGTGTTGAACCTCTCGGACCAACAACAGTCCGATCGAATTCTTCCAGTAATCGTCTTTTCAGGGGAGGCTGACCTAGAAACAATAAGATTTGATTCTGGTTAATTAAGGAGTGTAGAATCACAGCTTTAATTAAGAAAAAGGTCAGCTGCATCAACAAAATCAAGCGTTAAGCGTTAATTTCTTAAAGTATTTATATGCACCTTAAATAATCCAGATTCAATAAGAACAGACACTGAGACAAACTGTGCATCGATAATAACAATAAATGACACATACCAGTCATTTCTGCATCGTCTCCCAATCTTTTTCCTCTTCCTTTTTGTTCCTCTGCAGATGTGGCTTTGGATTCTTGGTTATCTTGCACTGGCTCATTTCCTGATGTGACTGAGAGACTTTCATCCTCTAACAAAGCTTTAGTGCAGTCGAGAGCTTCCTGAGCCAGAAACCTCTGTTGGGTCTCAGAGCAGCCACTGAGGTTAAGTGAAAATGGAAATATTAGAAATGAGGGCTCCTGCGGCTTTTTGGACTTGGGCCCTTCACTGCAGTTTGTATGGTTAACTTCACAACCCAACATGTTTATTGTTTCCTTTCCAAGAGTGTTGTGGAGTTTGCCCTCCCATGATGTGGACATTTTGCCTTCCTTTACCTCAGATGCACTTCTAAGGGCATTTTCTCTGACAGAAAGGCAATCAGTTTCATTTTCAGGTTCAGTCACCACAGACGGAAAAGATTCAACGACTTCAGGGGCACTTTCCTTAGCCGACATGTCCTTGTCACTCGCTGTGGTGAGAGCAGAATTTGTACTTTTCCCCATATTTTTAATTTTTGATAGATCTGACTTGCAGGTGGCACGTGGGCTTGTGAAGGATGAATCTGAGGGATGAGTCTCTTCATCTGCAAAATCTTTCAAAAGGGTCTTTGCTTTCAGAAGATTTTTCTGTGACACATGGACTTTACCTCCCCCTGCAGTTGAGGAACCACAACTTATTTTTCCTGCATTATTTTGAGCCTCTTTGTGTTTGTCACTCTTTCTTGTGTCTGAAACAGTCGAGACTTCTGCACTGAAATCGATGTCACTGAAGAGGTTTTTTGCCTTTCGGAGGGCTTCATATGAAAACGCCAACGGTTTACCACTGGTTGCAAGAAATCCATCTTTCCTCAGTGGTGAACAAGAAACTGGCAACTTGGTATCTTTTTCTTTCTTCTGGGCTGAGAGAGCAACTCCTTTTCCACTACTCTGAGGTGTCCCATCTTCTTCTTTTAGTTTTGTATCCGTAAAGAAAGCACTTTCATTTAATAGTGACATTGCTTTTGTCATTGCATCATCTGACACACACACTTTTTTCCCACTGGCTGTACAGAACCCACCACTGTTGCTAAATTTACTGAAGGCAGAGGAATCAGTTTTCTCTGATGTTGTGCACAACGGGGAAGAAAGTTGCTTTGATGGGTTTCCATTGGTCAAATCTTCAAATATCTTCCCATCATCATGATGCAGTACATTTTTCTCATTTACATCTGGTCCCACTGGTCCACGCTCTTCAGAAGTGTTTGTCGGCCTCTGATCTTGTTTAAATTTTGAAAGTTGTTTCTTCTCACTGCCACCTCCACTCACAGGTGCTTCACCGCTGTCATACTTAACTGTTGTTCCATTGTTTCTGTCCCTAATGTCACGGAAAGTATCTGCTTCTTGTACTGTTTTTTCAGAATAAGAACAATTGTCATATTCTTTCAAAAGGTTTTTTGCTTTGAACTTTTTTTTCTGAAACAAGCACACTGTTGCTCCCCCTGCAGTCATGAAACCACCATGTGCTTTGTCTGGATTTTCAGTGTTACCTTGACTGTTGTTACTCTTCTTTGTGTCTGAAACAGCCAGGAGCTCTGAAGTGATAGTGATGTCACTGAAAAGAGCTTTTGCCTTCTGGAGGGCCTCAGCTGAAAGTCCCAAAGGTTTGCCACCGGCTGCAAGAAATCCACTTGTCCTGGATGCAAGACCACGAACCGGCATCTTGGAATGAGTTGGTTTTACATCGATTTCATCCTCAACTGCTTCACATTGACTGAACAGTGATTTTGCTTTCTTGAGAGCTGCAACTGAAAAGACAACTCCTTTGCCGCTGGCTGTCTGAAATCCACCATTTTGAATTGGTCCAACTTGAATTTGATCGGCCACATGTGCTGCTCCTAAAGCATCTCCTTCCTCTTTCAGTTGTTTGTTTGTGTCCCCAGGTGTTTGGATTTCATTGAAAAGACGCTCTGCCTTTTTCACTGCATCAGCCGACACGGAGACTTTCTTCCCGCTGGCTGTACAGAATCCACCTCCATTGTTCAACTGATTCATTCCAGAGGAGCCAGAACTCTTTGATGTTGAACATGAGGGAGAAGAAAATACTTTTACAGTTGAAGAAAGGTTTTCACGGGAAGAAATTGCATTGGTTACAGATGGTGTATTCTTACAAGTAATACTTTGAATCTCCACATTGTGCTGTACAACCTTTGTATGACTGGCAGCTGGCCTAGCAGTCGCTTTTGAACATTCACCAAATGCTTCTTCAGAAAAGTTCTCTTTACGTCCTCGGACACCTTTAAATTTCAAATGGTTTTTCGTGTGACAGACGAATGTAGGCAACTGTTCTGTGTTCTCTTGGTGTTTTACAGGCGCACCAGATTTATCGTCGCAGTCTTTGAAGAGAGCATCTGCCTCTTGCATAGCTTTTGCTGAAATAGGAACTCCCTTCCCACTAGCCAATTGGAATCCACTTTGAAACGAAGCTGCGTCCATTTTGCTGTTACTAAAACTTTCTGCAGCATTTTTATGTGTAATGCTCATGACCTGTCGCTGCTTGGTTTGAGCAACAGCATCACTGCTTTGCTTGTCTGCTGACTTCTGATCAGTCAGATTTTCCTCTAAACCTGCAAACAGAGCCCTGGCTTTGCTCATACGTTCTTTTGAAATGCTCAAATCATTTCCTCTCGCAGTTTTGAATCCTACGTCGAGCATCAAAGGGGTTTTGTTCTCCTGCTCGCTTGTCTCAGTGTACCCAGCTCTGTTAGGATTTTGGGGTTCAGCTGACACAATACAGCACCTGCCTTCAGAGATGCTCTTTGAAGAGGGAGGCGCATCTTCAGTAGAGGGATTTTCTTTTGTCAGTGTGGATTTATTTGTCAGATTTGATGCCTCACAGTTTGTCTTACCGTCTGAAACTGATGACATTTTATGCTTTTCAGCATCGGAACTAAAGCTGTCATCAAAATCAATACCCATAAGAAAATCAGGGTCAAGTTCTTTGTCAACTTTTTGGAGGGAGGTGGCGTTATCTTGACAATGCTGCTGTAGCTTTGCAGTTTTGTACTGTGTAAATTCAAACTGGCTATCTGCTTCTTCCAGAAGAGTGCACAGCTCTGTCACATCAGCTTTTTGTGACGCTGTTAGCTGACAACTAATGTCCCCAAATTTGTCACTCGAAGATGGTGGCTGCTTTGAGTCAGAGATTGTATTTTTCACAGAATCCATACTGATGCTAATTTCTTCTTCAGTGTCATTGGCTCTTTTGGTCGGCTCTGCACTAAAAGTCCTTTCAGCTTTGTTTTCTTCAAACAGATGCTTGGCTCTCTCCAGGTGGGCTGAGGAAATTTCAATAGCCTTATTTGAAGCAGTTTTGAATCCTGATGCATTGATGGAAGGAAGAGACACTGTTGCTCTCTCTGGAAAACTGTCATTACTTGGACACTTGACTGAAGAGTAATTGATGTTATTAACACCTTCTTTTGCACCACTGGGCAGTTCGGTTGATGTGCTCTTTATGTGTAACTCACTCCCTCCCAGTATCTGGCTTTCCTTGACTGCACTAGGCAGCTTGGCATCCATTTCAGCTCCTAAAATATCATCTGAATGATATTTTACATTTGTAGATAGGGAAGAAGCAGCTCTTTGGGTATCAGTTTTAAAACCAGTCCATTGTTGACTTTGAGCAATGTTCACTGAGCTGGGAAGAATAAACGATGCTGAAGTCAGATGAGAGATATCTGCAACAGCAGACTGGAATCCACTGTCACCTCCTGTGCCCTCATTGATGGAGTAATTTTGAACGGTGGCAGAAACAGGTCTTCTGTCAGTGGTGTGATCACAGTCATTGTTACAGTTAACTTGCCTTGCTCTATGCTTGGCTTGCTTCATGGCGTTCAGACAAGTTGATGGAGAGAAGCCATTTTGAGGAGTATCCTGTGCTACTTCACTTGGTTTCCCGGGGTCTAACATTTGACTGAAGTCTTGTGCAAAATCTCTGCAGAGCTGGGACATGTCAAGATCCTGGGATTTTGGTTGAACAGGAAGAGGTATGTTTTCTTCTGTGACATTTTTCTGTTTCTCATCCTCCTTGATTCTGTAACAGTCTGCTTCATCTTGGAATTCCCCCAACAGCTTGGAACTCACTTTGTACCCTGGAAGAAAGCATGAGGATAAAAAGGGAGAGATTCATTCAGATTTTTCCATATTGACAAAAAGTGGATTATAGCATTTAAAACATGAATACATTCACATGCATGAGAAATGTTACCAGAATCTGGAATCCTGGGGGAGGTGTCATTCTTCAGAGACGGTGTTTCGTTTCGTTGAGTTTGTATTTTTGGAGTCTCAATGGTGTAAACAAATTGTCTCTTTTTCTTTGTAAATCCATAGTATGAGCCTGTCAAATGTGGCCTGGTGAGCTGGCCAGAATCAGAGTTGCTCCGCATTTGTTCTAGTATAGTTTTTTTGTCTACTTGTGTAGCATGACAATTATCCCTGCATGAAGAGGCAGGAATTTCAGATAAACTCAATGGAGACCACTGGGTGATTCCAGTATCTCTACTTTTCGGTGGTGGGGGTGAGGAAACTTTGACAGGTTCCCAATCATCTGTACTCTGTTCCACTGCTGCAGCGTTTTTAGTAGTTGAGATGTCTGTAAAGCTGCAGCCACGTTTTTTTGTCGGAATGATTTGTTTTCTCTTGATTCTGTCAGTTTTCACTTTTCTCAGGGCTGAACTACTGTTGGAGAAAAACATGGAAAGAACATTTTCAGCTCCATCAAGAACACTTGCTATAGTGCTGCGTACATCTCCATCCTCAATAGCGTCCGGGAGCTTCTGTCTCCAAACACTCTGACTTAGATTCAGTGAATCCTGGGGGGAGTTATGGGACTCAGGATTCTGACCAGCCTCAGGGGAAACGACACCTGTTGTTTACAGACAAGAAACAGACATCATTCATTCTTTTCTATTATGCATCTAAAAGTCAGTGCAAAACAAGGAAATATGGTGCACCTTCCACAATATTAGCAAAATGTACAGGAAAGACTCAGTACCTCCGTGAGCCAGCACGTCGTTGTTTTTGGGTGAAACTGCTGCAGCTACGTATTTGTTTGAAAGAGAAGGAAAAAGCTTCCGTACAAACTAAAGAAAGGGGGGAAAAAAGGAAAAACATAAATTTCAGAAGCAATTTAAATTGCAACACAATTTGACCCATTTTTATATTATAATAGCATTTTTACAGATAAAAGATAGATAATACATTTTTTTTACAACATTTTAGAGCAACAATTCTTGATCTATTCACATTTCCGGTGATATGGTGCACAGAATATTTAGTGTCATTTCATACTTTCATTTAGATAAAATATGGCAGAAGCAGAGACTTGACATAATGATAAATATATATCTGCTGTAGAGTCGAGTTTGACACAATACTCACAACAACATTGTCTGCAGAAATACTCATTGAACAGGGACTCTCATCAGTTTTAGCTGCAACAAGACAAAATAATTATCAAACAAATCACATAAATGGATTTATATTATAAAAAATCAACAATAACCATAACAACTAACTGAGTCGTTTTCTTACATAAAATCAGAGTGGATGGCACAGCTGGTGGGGTGTTCAGAGAACTCGTCCACGATATGTCAGGATGAATCTGTGCACCGAGACTTTCAGATATTTGCTTGGCATAGCTAACCTGTCATTCGTACAAAAACAAAACAAATAAACATAGAGAGTGAACCTTGAGGTCATTAATACTGCAATTTGCGGAATTAGTGTTTAATTGTATACACTTACTGGGGATTTTGGTGAGGTCTGAAGAAAATCTGTACAGATGACAGTGGCAAAATATTAACATATGTTGATCAAATATTTATTTCAATTTTACTTCAAACAGATGAAATATATGAAGTTGCAGCTCACCAAAACTTCCCAGACTCTGAGGCTGGATTCCTCCACATTTTGCTCCAGGGACCCTAAAAAAACATGGACACTGAAAACTGCAGCAGTGATGACACAAAGGACATCAATAGCTCATGCACACATGTGCAGAGACAAAAGTTCTAAGTATATGTATCTCTTTTTAAAGCACAATTCTTCATTGTCAATAGTTATATGAAAATCAGACAATGAAAAACACACTTCCTACTCATCACTTGAAATAAGAACCACGAAAAGAAAAAATGGAATATCTAAAAGTTGTCTCTTTCGAACAGTACAGGCAAAAAAGTCTTGAGGGTTGTTGCACTCACCTCTCCTTTGTCATCTGAAACAAACATGGACTTTGTGATTCGTTCCATGGCCGTGCTTCTTTAGCTAAGGAAAGAAATACAGAAACATCACTTTTAGATGCTACTTTAAGAAAGCTTTTCAAAACATACAAAATTTATAATGATACATTAAAGATGTAATGTGCAGACATCTACAGTCCTGTATAACAAATATTTCAAGTGCAAGACATTTATACACATAAATATATTAATGGTCTAATTTGAAACATTACCTTGTTCAGCAGTAAATGACTGCTCACCCTCAGTTTCAGGTGACACAACTCGACTGTGTCTGAAAACTTTGGGGGTTGAAAACAGCTGACTGTCCAGTGCAGTTTTGTCGCAGGGTGCTTTGAAGTTCCCCTCTTGGTTAGCGCAGAGGTCGTCTTGATCAGACACATTTCCCTCACTGGTGGACGTTTCTGCTGACAGGACTTGAAACCAGTCGGGGTCCAGTGGTCCCAGCTCTGGATAGGGGAATAGAAAAAGGATTCCAACTCAGTATGAAGTAAATCAACTCCAGGTTCACAGCATCCTGACGGTGGATTGTGTATCACAGTGGCATCTGATTGTGGTGGTGGATCCTGATAGTGAACTAACAACCAGACTGCTTGACACACAATACTCCTACTCACATACTCTACCACTACTGACAATAACTCCTCAATTATATGTCATCGCTGCTCCCTTCATCTCTATCAGACATTTTCTTATGTACAAATACATTCACAAACTTTTCCATTATGTTTCAAAGTGTTTCTTCTAATCAATGTTGTAAATACTGTTATTTTGTTGATGTTCTCAGTTTCACGCTGCATCTATTGCTCCTTTGTCCATCCTGGGAGAGGGAGTCCTCACATGTAGCTCTCTCTGAAGTTTCTGTTTTTTCCCCCATTAATATTGTTTTTTTTGGTAGTTTTACTCTTGTTGAGTTAAGAACAGAAGATGTCACACCTTGCTAAGCCCTATGAGACGAATTGTGATTTGTAAATATGGGCTTTACAAATAAAGTCTGTTTTGTTTCCATGACAGGAATTGTTTGTTTGATTATCAGGCAAATATGTGTACAAGCAGTGGAAAAACATCATGAACACGTTTGTAACTTAATGCACAAGTACAGCCCTGCAACAAACTATGTGTTGCTTATAACATTAAATGTTTGTTCTCATAATAATTGTATTAACTACTGTGCAGTTCATAACTTTGACTTTTTCACATAGCACTTATCTCACCTTTCCAGATCTCATCCTTGAAGGTGTCATACATGTTCGGCGGAGATTCCATTCCAGGTGACTATAGGTTGTCGCCTGAGAAAACAAAGTTTTCATGGTGACAAAGTTATGAATCAGAAACTGATGTTAGCCACAGCATGTTAGCTTAAAGGCGAAGGTTGTCAAACTGCAGCTGATGCTCACGACCACACGTTGTGTAGCTGCTGCTCAACTCACGTTAGCTTGCATGACAATAAAACAGCTTGATTCCTTGCGTTAGAAGATATGTTAGCAGACTGACAATGTTCACAAATGAACCAAATACAGAACTGCTAACTACCAATTCACAAAAAGTCACGTTACATATAAACGTAAACGTTGCTCTGACTCACCATGACAGCGGAAGAAGGTCTTGACTTTCATGTCTCGATGAAAACGTTCGATAAACTTTATACAACAAACCACTGCGACATAAAGTGGTAAAGAAGTGTTTACACGTTAGCTAGCTGGCTAGTTAGCTACTTCTACGAAAACAAAACTCGC